GCTGGCCTCGAACTCACAGAGATCCGCCTGCCTCTGCCTCCCAAGTGCTGGGATTAAAGGCGTGCGCCACCACCGCCCGGCCACAGCAACTCTTATAAAGGAAATATTTAATGGGGCTAGCTTACATTTCAGAGGTTTAGTCCATGGTCATCATGGTGGGAAGTGTGGTGGCACATAGACATACATGGTGTTGGAGAGGAGGCTGAGAGTTCTACATCCAGATCCGACGGCAGCAGGAAGAGACAGAGACACTGGGCCTGGCTTGAGTATCTGAGACCTCAAAGCCTGTTCTTAATGACACACTTTCTCCATCAAGGCCACACCTCCTTATAGTGCTGCTCCCTTTGGGCCTATGGGGTCCATTTTTATTCAAACCACCACAGAGGGAGAAAGAGAGAGAGAGTGAGAGAGACAGACAGACAGACAGACAGACACACACACACACAAAGAGAGAGAGAGAAAGAGAGAGAGGAGACGCAGAGAGAGTTGTAACTGTTCTCATGTCTTTTATTTTGGTTGTTTCATTGTTAGGTGTTCCTTAGAGCAGAATTCTTGCCCTGTTTTAGCCATGTCAATCAACGCATTTAGTCTTTCCCACATGAACTCAATTTGAGTTTCTTTTCCTTGGTCCAAGTAATGTTGCCTTTAAGGTGTTGCAAATCTACTCATGGAAAAATAAGCAAAAATTGATTATATAAATATTTTGTGATATTTTTCACCCACAGAGAGTCAAAGGTATCTATTTAATCAGATTTTTAAATTATTATTTCATGTTGCTCTCACAGTGAATCGGAGTTGTACAAATTGCCAGATTTTGTACATTAATTCAAAATAATTTTATAGTTTACTTGAAGGCAAAAGTAGCAAAGAGATTTGAAATAGTCTTTAATTATAGTAATATCTTAGAAAATACAGTCTATGTTGTTATACCTTATGTGCTATTTGTAGAAGCAAAACCAGAATGAACGAAAAAGTATATTTAAATGTCTGAGCTTTCCTTGATTCTTATTTAAAAATATGAAATTTATATATACTATCTTAAAGCATAAGGGAATGTCATAGAGCGGTTTTGCCCAGCCAGGGGATGCAGTGATGAAGCAACCACAGAGGTCCCATGTGGTCTAGGCTTTGTCTTCTGTGATTCACTCCATTATCTCACTGTGGTTATTCTCGCCTTTGGGTAGGTTAGAGTTCAGTTAAGAAAATCGACAGTAGTCCCCTGGGTAGAAAAATGAAAGAATAGAAGTAAGTTAATTAACAATAGACATCAGGTTAGACCACTTTTTTTTGTTTGTTTTTTTTGAGACAGGGTTTTCTCTGTGTAGTTTTGGTGCCTGTCCTGGATCTTGCTCTGTAGACCTGGCTGACCTCAAACTCACAGAGATCCACCTGGCTCTGCTCTGCCTCCTCATAGACCACTTTTATTAGATGGTCATTACTGTAACATGAATCTTTTTTTTTTTTTTTTTTTTTTTTGGTTTTCCAAGACAGGGTTTCTCTGTGTAGCTTTGCACCTTTCCTGGGACTCACTTGGTAGCCCAGGCTGGCCTCGAACTCACAGAGATCCACCTGGCTCTGCCTCCCGAGTGCTGGGATTAAAGGCATGCGCCACCACCGCCCGGCCTGTAGCATGAATCTTAACAGGTTTTATTAATAAAACCAAACCCGGGCTGGGTATTGGAGTGAATGCTGGAAGATCAGAGAAGCAGAACAAGCCACAGCCACCTCAATTTGCCAATTCCTCAGCTGATCCTGTTTCCTCAGACTGGAAGCCTCTCAGTCCTCATCCAGAATGAATCTCAGGTGAACTGCTTCTCAAAAGCCTAAGAGTTTAACCAATCCTAGTTCCTGGTCCTCACGCCTTATATACCTTTCTGCTTTCTGCCATCACTTCCTGGGATTAAAGGCTCACTTCCTGGGATTAAAGGCACGAGTCACCATGCCTAGCTGTTTCCAGTGTGGCTTTAAAGTCACAGAGATCCAAATGGATCTCTGCCTTCCAAGTGATAGGATTAAAGGCATGTGTGCCACCATTTTCTGGCCTTTATATCTAGTTTAGTGGCTGTTCTGTTCTCTGGCCCCAGATAAATTTATTAGGGTGCACAATATATTTTGGGGAACATAATATCACCACACATTACCATATAGACTACTCTCTGGGTTTGGTGGTTACCTCCAGAGGGCATCCAGGTTCTTGTGTTCTGGAACAAGGAATCAGATGAGACCCATGGACGTTAGCAAGCAAAGCAAGATGATTTATTAAGAAAGAATACACAACTGAGGGTCAAACTGCTCCCTGTCACAAAGGATTAGAGTTTTTGAGTCACAAAGCATGTTTTTTTGGGGGGTCATTTGCACAGCATGAGCTTCCCTACTCATCTGCATACTGTGAGCATTTTGGATGTGCTCTGTTACATGAAGTTCTGTATACAACCTCATGCATCTGTGCATCTTATTTAGTACTGTAAATTTCTACCCAGGACTGTTTTAGTACTAACACTTCGGAGTGCCGCTGCCTATGCTCTGGGTTTAGTTGGCTTTGACCAGTGGGTTTTCCAGCCTTCATTTTTTGCCCACTGTTTTTTTCTCATATGTTAATTTTGTGAGACTTTTAGCAAAGCCATCTGGACCACACTGTGGTCCATATTTACCTTCTTGCATTAATAACAATATTTAAGAAACTAAATAAATATTGGATGATAGGATTGAGTAAGAAGTTAAAAATAAATCAATGGAATTGTTTTTATATCATGTTATGTAGGACAGATAACTACAAGGAAGGAGAATAGTATATCAAGAAAATTTTTCCACTGATCCATGTTGTTTGAAGACATTCTTAAGTATTCATGTCCAATTACCAAAATCACTAGCATTACCATATTCAATATTGTACCTTATATTTTATCTGTTGCATTTTAATTTGGAAATTTCTCAGCTGAGTTAGAAGACAGTATCATCTAATTGCATTGTGTTCACAAGTCACGTTTTAATGAAATTTCATTATTGGTGAAACTTTCATATGGAAAACTTCACGCATGTGTGGGGCTTTTGTATTATTTTAGTCAAAAATCAAATAAAAAGATAATGAAGAAAGAAGGCATTTTAAGAATGTAAAATGACACTCAATCATTTTTCTTTTCTATAATCAAAGAATCTTATCCAGACCTGGTTATTTAAAGAATTATTTCCCCTTTATTTGGAAGCATCTATTTTAATTATATGTGTTAAATACTATGTCATACATATTATGAAGATATTATATTCATGTTAATACCATGGACACGAAAATAAACATGATGAATGATAAAGAAAACAAGACATGTAGCAGCTCAGGCAGAAGCTTCCTTGACAGTGTTGATAACTGCCTTTCAGTGGGTTTCTTACAAAAGCAGTTTTCTACGGTGTAGCAGCTTCAAAACATGGACCCTACTTGCCTTCCATAAATCTGGAGACGACACACAGACATTCGTACTCACAAATAACACCTGAAGCCTTAACCATTATTGCAATCATTTATAACACCCACTTTTTTATTAAAATACCAAGCTGCTGCTCCCTCTAAACTCTGAAACTGGCAAAATGGTATTCCACGTGTTTGTCAGAGTCCAACCACTGTTTGGACTCTCCTGCCAACCCCACCTCTGTGCCACGACACATCCTCTTTAAGAAAACCAGTACAGCTAGGCTCAGCTTGCACATAGGTGAATTAAAAATAAATTCACGAAGCAAATTTTGAGGTAATCTAGAGCACTTACAACCAAAATTGATTCATAAAATTCAATTTACATTAATCTCTTCAGTTGCTCAGGCATGCCACTAGATGACATGGGACTGTAAGTGACAAAAGGTAAGTTTCCAGTGAAATGAACTGAGCTATATCAGATTCAGATGAACAGCCTTAACTCATATTGAAGCCAGGAAAAATGTGAATTAGAGAATAATGTCTTCATATGAGAGAGTCTTTCCAGTAGTTTCCCGTTTAAAAAAATGATGCAATTATGAAATGTTTTTCACTTACACACACTGAAAAAGCTCTTCTGCCTTATTAGTTAATATTATTAATAAGAAAGATCCTGGCAGGCGTTTGTGGCACATGACTTTAATCCCAGCACTCAGGAGGCAGAGGCAGGCGGATCTCTGTGAGTTTGAGGCCAGCCTGGACTACAGAGTGAGTTCCAGGAAAGGCTCTAAAGCTACACAGAGAAACCATGTCTCAAAACAAAACAAAACAAAACAAAACAAAACAAAACAAAACAAAACAAAACAAAACAAAACAAAACAAAACAAAAAACAAAGCAAAAAACCCCCAAACAAACCAGAAAGACCCTTTTTGGCATAAACATGAGTTTTTGTGGAATGATATGGATCCAAAGATAATTCTTCATTAGATAGCAATTAGGCAGCTACTGAGAATATTAATGTTCACAAAATAAAATAAATTTGGGGCTGTAGTTCTAGACTGTATTTTGGTCATAGGTGGGTTTCTTCTAGGACCTACTAAATTAAGTAAGTAGGATCCTTTTTTCCCCCTTTCCTTTCCTTTTTCCTTTCCTTTCCTTTTTCCTTTCCTTCCCTTCCCTTCCTTTTTCCTTTCCCTTCCTTTTTCCTTTCCTTTCCTTTTTCCTTCCCTTCCCTTCCCTTCCCTTCCCTTTCCTTCTTTCCCTTCCCCTTTCTTTCCTTTTTAATCACCTGCATTTTAACAGTGACCAAACTGAAACTCAAAGGTATTGAAGACCTGTCTGAGACTTGCTGTTTATCACTTCCGAGTTTTTTTTCCACACTCCTGCTTCCAGCTGTGCAGCAAACCCAGAGATGAATGCCCCACCAATCTTCTACTTCACAGTGTAAACTAAAGCATAAAACCTGGAAATTTTACAAAGCCGTTGACTTTGACTATTTTTTTTCCACTTATTTTTGTGATGTGTGTGTGTGTGTGAGTGTGCACATGTGCACGTGAGTATAGGGTGCTCCTGACACAGCGTTCATGTGGAGGTCAGGGGACCCTCTTGGTTGTAGGTCCTTCGTGTCCCATCTGAGACAGGGTCTCTTTGTGGTTCAGCTTCATGCACAGGGCTGGTGACTAGCTGATCCAAGAACTTCCTGGATTCTCCTGTCCCGCCCTCCCATCTTACTCTAGGAAGACTGGGATTCCAGGCTCATACTACCATGCCTGACTTTACATGGGTTTTGGGGATTAGAACTCAGGTCCTTGTGCTTGCCTGGCTAGTCAGCCACCTCCCCACCCACCCAACACTGATGATTTAAAAAACCATTTTCTTACAAACTATTTGTTTAGGATAGAAATTGACTGCATAATCATTAGGGCAGAATGTCTCAGTACTCATGCTGTATGCTGTGATTTGCCCTTCCAAAGCTAGTGAGATGTGGTCCTCTGTTCCTTAAGATCAGACTCAAGTAAGCCTATAGTATATTTCCCTATGGCTTTCCAAACATCCTTAGTACTGTTTATCCTTTCTCCTTCCCTCTCCCTTTGTATTGCGCTCTCTTGCACCTCCCCAGTTAAGCCCACCACCCAGTTTTCTCCTATCCATGTCATACACAGTACCCATGTCCTACTATGTGCTCTCTAGAGTTCCTTCTCCTCACCCTGGAGATCGCTCTCTACTTTTCTGACTCCTGTGTTTACCCTGAGCTATATACTTAAACCTAAAGATTCAAACCTAGGACCCACAAATAAGAGAGAACATTCAACATTTGTTTTTATAGCTCTCTGTTATCTCACTCAGTATAATATTTTCTTTTTCATCCTCTTATCTGCAAGTTTCATTATTTCATTTTCCTTTACAGCTGGCTAGAATTCTATTGTGTGTATACGCCACATTTTTCCACTTTTAAAAACTGACAGTGGATTTCCTAATGCAATATATTCTGATTATGGTTTCCCCTTTCCCAACTCTTCTCAGATGCTACCCACCCAACCCAAATCCACATCCTTTGTCTCTCTCTTTCATTAGAAAACAGGCACCTAAAATAACAATAAAAAATAAAATAAGATAAAAACAAACAAACAAGAATAGGACAAAACAAACAAACAGAAAAAACAGCCAAAGAAAATCATAAGAAACATTTATAGACACAGAGACACATACATTTACACATACAGAAAACCTCCAAAAACAAAATTGGAAACCATAAATTATAAGCAAAAATATGTAATGTAAAGTAAAAATACCCAGACAAAGTATTATGAGACAAAGA